AGCCAACTGTCCGGGTCCGAGGTGCCGTCGGGGCCGCTCTGGGAAGCTGGGACGCCGCGTCTCGGCTGCCCACCTCCCTGGCTCGCAGTAAGGCTCCGGGGACCCGCGAATGGCAAAGCCGTAAAGCAGAACGCTGCCACCGGGTGGCAGTCCGAAGCCACGGCCCGGAGGCCTCAGAACTGGGGCGATGGTCAGAGTCGAAAACATATTAGTCTTTCCCTTTTTCTGATAAATTCTCTCCCTAATGAGCCACGAAAGGTGCCACAAACAAGAAAGAACTAGGTCCTTTACAGAGAAAGAAACGGGAACCGCACCCTTCCTTGGGGCTGAGAGGATGCTTACTGGCCAAAGCCGCCTGTCTTGGGTTTAACCTATGGCCCCTCATCCCTGACTCCTGTAAATGGAGCCCAGTGTCCACTCTGGAGAAAAGGTTTTCGGGTGCCTGAGCTGCTTCTGGAGCAAACTTTCCCTGACGGCCGATCCTTCGGCCAAGCCCTGCATCCACTTTGCCCAGAAGGGAGCAGAAAAGCAGTGACCGCTTATGGCGAAGCTAAGCATCTAGTGCTTTCCCAAGACCCTCTTTCTAGATGCCCCTCCATCCTTCAGGAGGAAACACCGCCCTCCTGGATTCTTTCTCGACCAGTCACTAGGACCCTGGGACCAGCCTTGCGAATGACAGTGTATCTAAACCAGGTCCCCTAGCTACTGGCGGGGGGTGGGGGTCAGGGCTGGAGTGGGAGGACCACATGAGGCCAGGGGCTTGAGAACAGCCTGGCAATAGCGAGAGCCTGCCTAAAATAAACAGGCCCTGCTGGGTCACTGCCTAGGTGTGGTGGGCGCCCAAAGACAGGTGGAGCCATGCCAGCAGGATGAGGAAAGCAAGATCATGAAATGGGGGGTAAGATTCACTCTAGAAACAGCGTGGACCATGACAGTCAGGGGCCACCGTGCAGCCACTTAGGAACTGTCATCCCGGAGTGACCATGGAAGCCTAACGTGACCTATTCTCACCTGCCAGGCGCTCTCCAAGTCTATAGGCAGAGCACACCGTGCCTCATTCTGCCTGCTGCAGTTCCACAGGAGTGTTGTTAGGGACAATAATCCGCAGCTGCTCCATTTGCTGGTGGAACTTCCTTGTGTGAAAGCGCTGATAGGATGCTGTCCTGGGATCTCCTCATTGTGGTTAAGGGACAAGATGCCATGGGCTATGGCCAAACAGGAAGCCCCTCCACCTGCCTTGTGACGGCAACTAGCTTACTTGCCCTCCCATTGCAGAGGGGCAGTTCCCTGACACTTCCAACCTGATTCCACTCACAATCACCACCCTCAGCCTCACTTGTCACTACCAAAGCTAAAGAGAAGGAAGGTATCTGCCCCTGCCAGTAGGGAAAGGCCATGTGCTCAGAATAAGGTAATCAATGCAGCTTTGGGGGCTGTTCCTGGTTAGTTTCTCAGTGTATGGGCTCTGGGTGGATGGGTGAAGGAACTCTTGAGTGCTCTGGGATCCCCATACACACACTGCATACATTCATCCCTTTGTTCAGCAATACCAGCAGTGACCTAGGACCCCACACTCAATCACCACCTCAACCTCACCTGTCACTATCAGGCTAGAAAATGAGGTAAGGCATGAGGCTCCACCCACAGGAAAAAGCACCCAGAACCCTCCAGTCAGTGACTACTCTCCACCATGGTAGGGTGGGAATGCATACAGGGTGCTCCCAGTCATCTGCAGAACAGAATGGTAAAGGCCAGGCTAGGAATAACTTCCTGGCTGTAGACAGGGTGTCTGTCCCACGTTCCTCCAGGCCCATCCCAAGTTCTCAGTGCAAGACAGACACCTGCAAGCCCGGTATCCCTGGCAGTGACTTTACAAAAACACACTGACATCAGCAGGACTGTACCCAGTATGGAGGGGAAGGATGTAGCCATAAGACCGTGGGCAAAGGAACGCCTCAGGTGCTGAGCAAGTTAGCAGTGAGCCGGCAGAGTGAGGGTATGGTCCAGAACACCAGGCTCATGATTGTGTCCTGTTTCCTGTTCCTCAGTTTCGTCATACGTGAAATGAGTGCTTACATCCAAGCACTGCAAGCCATGGTACTGAGTCACCCACCTAAGTGTCTTGGTCCCCTCTGTGGGGAAGCAAGGGTCTTGCCCAGGGTACCTGCACCTCACTTCTAGTTGTAGACTTTTCCTTCAAGCTTCCACCACTCATTGGTGGTCTACTCCAGTAGTCTACCTTCCTCCCAGTACCAACCAGGGGGATCCCACAGAAATCCTCCCAGCAGGGACCCCTCCCTTTGAAACTATGGGGGTGGGCACAGCCTGGTGGCATAAAGACAAACTTTATTGAGGCTCTCAGCACTAGTTCTCTTTCTCCTGCACAGTCTTGGTTCCCCGGAGACGTCCAGTCCGGCGGGCAGCAATGAGACCCACTTTGCGGCCAGCAGGGGCGTCTCTGCGGATGGTAGAGGGCTTGCCGATGTGCTGGTGGTTGCCACCTCCGAAAGGATGCTCCACAGGCTGTAGGCAGAGGAAGACGGCTTTAGAATGCGGGTGAGCCCACCTCCTTCAGGAGGGTTGGAGCAAGATCAACAGTCCTGTGACTACAAACCACCACCCACTGCTCCTCCCACTGCAGATGTCCCTCCTGCAGGGCCACCTGTGGATGGGACTTGCCTACTCGTGTGGCCGTGGTACCTTGAATACCCAATCCTGCATTTCTGCGTTACTTACATTCATGGCCACACCCCGTACTCGTGGCCAGCAGTTCCTCTTTGCCTTATATTTGTGGTAGGCCCGGCCAGCCTTCAAGATGGGTTTGTCAATTCGGCCACCTCCAGCCACCACACCTGTAAGGGAGGATCAAGTACCTCAGGGAACCTCTAGTCGGTCAGAGCACCCCCACCTCCTCCCCTCAATCTCCTGTCATGCACCTTCACAATACTACATCCAACTACCCAGCAAAAAGCCCACTCGCCTCCACCCTAGAGAGCCCCTTGCACCCTGTGAGCTGACATCCAGTTTCTTCAATCCACACTGGGCAGTCAAGCCAAGGCCCTCACCTCCATCACCCAGAATGCTGGCTGAGCTCCAAGCGCAGGGAAGCAACCCCCTCACCATGTTTGAGACATCCGACATGTCACTCAACCTGACACAGGACACTTGATTCAGCCTGCCCCATCTCAGCGTTGCTTATTCCAGGAATACAACCTCAGGGCCTCCCCTGTGCGAGGCTGAGTTTGTAACAAGGATTCCAAGATGTTCCCAACAGCACAGCGAGTTAACCGAGACTCAAATCCTCCTTCACTCACTCAGTAGGTGATTTTGAGAAAGTCACAAACCTCTCCCTGCCTTATCTGAAAAGACTTAACCAACTGTATGCAAGGACAGCAATCAGGAAGCCCAGACTAGAATTCAAGTCCCAAGTGACTTAATCCCAATCTCATTTAACGCCACAATAGCAGTAAGGCAAGTACTATTGTGGTCATTTTAAAGTGACGAAAACTGAGACTACACAATAACCTCAAACTTACAAAACCCAAATTTTGAAACAACAGGTAATTCCAGGAACCAAGTCTAGCCACTGGCTGTCCGCCGGCGCTCACAGCCTGTTCACCCAACAGCCCTCAGCATTCAACTACTGCCTGGTACTCACCAACCACAGCTCTATTAGCTGAGGAGATAACCTTCTTGGAGCCGGAGGGCAGCTTCACACGGGTCTTCTTGGTCTCAGGGTTGTGGGAGATAACGGTGGCATAGTTCCCTGATGCCCGGGCCAGCTTGCCACGGTCTCCAGGCTTCTCCTCCAGGCAGCACACGATCGTACCCTCAGGCATGGTGCCCACAGGGAGCACATTGCCAATGTTGAGCTGGGCTGCAAGGGGAAGCAGCATCAGGCCGTCAGCGCGGTAAGAGGCAATGCGACCCCACTCGCTCTAAGCAGCCCGTGAAGTTGCGAGCACAGCATTCAACATCCAGCCTCCCGGTGCAGCTGAGTACCCACCGGTGCCCACCGTAGCCACTGGCCTGGCCACGCGGTGGCCCACCCCAACTTTCTGCCTGCCAGGTTCCCACACCGGTTTAAGACGTTAACTCCTCAGACAACACCCAGACCTCTCCCCACCCCGACCTTCCTTCCCCGCCGCGATGCTAACCCTTCTTGCCGCAATACACAAACTGTCCCGTGTGAATGCCCTCGGCGGCAATGAACAGCTCCGTCCGCTTCTTAAACCGGTACGGATCCCGGAAGACCACCTTGGCGAGCGGCGCGCCGCGGCCCGGGTCGTGGATGATGTCCTGCGGGCAGGGGCGGCGTAAG